GGGCCTCGCCTCGCCTCGCCTCGCCCGAGCGCCTAGGCGAGCGCCCGAGCGCCTTTTGCAATCACTGGTGAAGAATAAGTTATTTTCTTATATTATGTGTAAATAGTGCCATGTCACTTTTTTTTTCTCTCACTAGTGAGACGTGTGAAGGCATGAGACTTTCATCCCCGAGAGTTTCTACATAGGTGAGTCTAATGATTATTTCTTTTTCCATCCTGGTTTTTGGCATATTATTGCAGAGTTCACAAGTTCAAAGTATGAGTATGTGAAAGAATAACTTGCAGGAAGTTTAAATGTAATGAAATAAATTCAATGTTTTTCAAAGAACATGATGTCATCAAATAACAAAAATCTGCAGTATATGAATATAATAGGTTAATATTAAAATAATCCTGTATCCATATGTTATCCATCAAAAAAAGGTTAAATTTTAAAAACAAAAGGAATCAAGACAAACAAAATAATGACAGTAGCCTAACATTACCTGAGGCGTAGACAGGAGTTCAGCATCACGCCTATTGAGTCTAGAATGCAGAAGCACAAAATAGATCTTCCAGAAATACCCTTCGCTCATTTGACTAGGGCAAAGCTCAGTCTTCAGAACTGCAAATTCGGGTGCATGAAGTTCAACCATCGAGGCATGTTTTAGCTGGGCATCTGACATTTCAAAATCTAGCAGGAAAAAGGAAACAAGAGTTACTAAAAACAAAGCTGAACGAAAATCAGGGAAATAATTTACACTCCCTGAGATGAAGTCTAGTATGCTAAAGTGGTTAAATAAGACAATCTGCAACCAGCAAAAGAATTGTCAATATAGATCACGTGAAAAATGTACATGCTTAGGAACATATATGAATGCCTAAAATAGACAAATGTCTGAAAGTGATTACAGTCATAATAAGGCTCCACTGTTAGAACTCAAATGCTTTTTAATGCACCAACTGAAGCATATTGATCTTATGTAAGCAAGAAAACTATGCTGGTATCTTGATAACACTTGCACAATGTCTTTTGAGTGTAAACACTCAAAGAGATGGAAGAGGAACACATCTTAATGATCAATGACCCATGCTTAATTCTCAATTTGACACAAAAAGATACATTTTCGTATCTGTGTAACCAACAATACCTTGTATCATTCCTTCCTTACAAGGACAGAAGTAGGTTCAAGCTTCATCCTCGCATGAACCCTTTATATAAACAAATTTTGTTTTATTTATGCAAAACCCACCCTTGAGCTTTCCTAACTCAACGAAGAATAAGGCAAACCCTTATAAATCAAAAACATTACCCCCATTTGTGACTGTCACTGAGAAACTCAAGAGGGTAATACACATACCTATTCCAGTTTTACTCTCATAGAAATTAATATAACCTGGTGCACTGGCAAAGTATATTTAAAGAATCAAACCAAATGAGACAGAACCAATGGACTATTAAAGCACTACCAATACATGATAAAATGGCAACAACATATTGAAGAAAATATTGATGTGAGAAATACATTATATTACATAAATTTCAGCATCATGCATGAAAGCTAAAACCATGATCATGAAGATTCTTTAGCAAACTGTGTCATATCTAATCAGCTCGTGGTTATAAGTAACAAAAACAGCCTACGTAAAGATGGGTTCAACTTAGAGAGGCTGAAAATCAAAATGATTAAACATTATTAATCGGATGAGATTGAGACAACCAACAATCATTTTACCAGCAATGTGAGCAATCAACATCATGGCATAACAATCAGAGACAATCAATGCTATCCTTTAACCGAAATTTTTTATACTCTATGGAAGTGCTGCATCCACACCATCCTAATCTTCTCTTGGCTCTAAAGAAACATTTCTGAAGCAATAGAAATGCAGAAACTTCTCATAGATTACACTGTACTAGCACCTCAGTTTCCAAGATTTTTCATCTATATTCATCAAGACTCATCATAACAGCAGATCAATGGTGGCTCCTACTCACAACTCCTTAAGCAACTTCATGTACAATCATCATAACTTCATGTAGAATCATTACAAATTCATGTGATGGTCTAAAGAACTCAAATTCCCTTGCAAACCACTTCAAATATAATCATCACAACTTTTAAGACTCCAACATCAGATAATCTTGTTAACTGATCACTATCGAAGCATGGGTTAAACTGATCCAACGGTAGCGAAAAGGAAAGGAACTAGAATCATGACAATTTTGACATTTAACAACACGTGCACCTTAACATATGCAAAAGAATATTACGTTAGAAAGAAGTTTAAGAGGATCTCAGATACCTACTTATGATCAAAATTGTGCATCTAAGTGACTTCATATAGAAATATTCGACAAATAAGTGTATGTAACCCATAAATTTATCCTTGTATTTAACCAACAATCCAGAAGACACAAGACAAAGACAGTTTTGTTGATTTTTCTAGGACACCGCTACATGATTAATACTAAACCTGTAAATTCCTCATTCTTTCAGATAAATATATAAAAGAGAACAAAAATGTTTTTACTGAATCCACTGCATAATTAAGATGTAACCGTTGAATTAGGTAATAAAAGTCTGTGATGATACACAATTTCCTGCTAACTCATGAATTAATCAATAAACTACCCAGATCTAATGGCTTGCAGTCTGAAAAAATTAAGAGTAGGGAAAAAGCATACCATCAAAGTCATCTTCATAATGGGGCAAAGGGAAATCCAGCCAAGTCTCCGGATGATTGGCAATATTCCTTGCAAAAGCCAAAACTTGCTCATTAACACCAACAGGATCAACTCCAACCCCATCATTCTCCTCATCCTCATCCAACTCCTCTTCGTCCGATCCAAACGGCAAAAGGGAAGACGCGAACTTAGAAATCTCCGTCACGGCCTTGGATTGTGACAGCACCTGCGAGATCCCACTCTTAAACTTCCCGCCGATCTCCGCAAAATCGCTGCGGATTCCTGCGATCCTCGGCGAATCCGCAGCCGGCGGCGGGAGGTCAACCTCACCGGGCTGCCCGGCGAGCGCCCGATCGCCGTGGTCGGGCCCGGGAGGGGCGGGGGCGAGGAAGGAGGCGACGCCCCAGAACTGGCGGGTGAGGGTCTCAGTGAGCTCGGAGAGGTCATCTTTAACGCCCCGCGTCGGCGTTTCCCCCTCCTCTTCGTCTTCTTCTTCTTCTATTTGCCCTTGTTCTTGCGCTATTGATGGGGATCCGACGCGGGATTTCTCATTCCTCGCTGCTGCTTTTTCCTCCTCGAATTCCTCCGATTCGTCGTCTTCGTCGTCGCCGCCCCGCAGAGAGTTCACCAGGGACCGCGCCCACCATGACATCCTTTTTCGTCTCTCCGGTCAAGGAACGACGCGCTTCATTATTAGACGGAGAAGACGATCAGCGAAACATCGACGAGAAAGGAAAAGCTTGTATTATTGGTCGTAATAGTTTCTATATACGGGATCAGATCTGTCGTTACTATATCAATCATGTTAAGATTGATTAAATCGGACGGTCATTATGGATTTCCTATAGATGTTTTCTATGAGCTCATTTGAAAGATTTGTTTTCTGTTTGGAATGGTCTTCGGGCATTGGTGGGATTAGATGGATTTGCATTCGAGAAAAATAACAATAATATGGGACGATTTTATAATCCCGAAAACACCTGCCATCGCTTCCCCGCCGGCCTCGCCTGTGCTTCCCTGTCTGTCACCTCCGCTTCCGCTCGCTTCCCTGCCGCCATGAGGCCCGCCCTTCCCCATCGCCCGCCTCACCTCTTCCCAGGCGAGAGGCAACCGTTGCCCCTTGTGCCACCGCCGACAACGCAAACAGCCTGCTGCCTCGCCGCCACCGTTGTGGGTCCCAGCCACCTCGTAGGAGGGTCCCCGTTCTTCCTTCGCTACATACGCCTCCGACCAACGCCCCTCATGCTCCTCTGTCGACAGCAAGGGAGGGGGCGACGGAGGCGTCGGCAGTGGGCTATCTTGCTGTCGGCTGCGGCACAAGGGACAATGGTACCGTCTCGCTTGGGGCGGAGGTGACGCCGGTGGGACGAAGGCGACGTTCAGGGGAAGCACAGGCGGCGTCGGCGCCGAGGAAGGGTATTTTCGGGACATGAGAAAAATCGAAAACAAGAGTTCAGGGTTGGAAACCAAACAGAGTAATTATATCTCATTTTAAGAGAAAAACAAATAATAGAGACAGTTTGGCCGAGTGGTCTAAGGCGCCAGATTTAGGCTCTGGTCCGAAAGGGCGTGGGTTCAAATCCCACAGCTGTCAAATTAATTAATTGTTATCTTTTTTATTTTTTCAGTGTGTCTTGTCAGGCACTTATGTTCTTTGCAGTCTCCTGAATACTTTTGATCGAGAGAAAAGCACTTTTAGCAATATCGCATCAGTTCACAAATCGGTTCATCAAAACGATTCATTGCTGCACCACAGCATCAATTTGGCACCAAATGTATGTTTCAAGTATTCCAGAATCCATATGATAATTCCTTATAGCATAAGGATTGCTTTCGAGTAATATAGCCGTCTTAGCTCAGCCGGTAGAGCGCGTGGCTTTTAACCACGTGGTCGTGGGTTCGATTCCCACAGACGGCGAAAATATTTGTTTTTCCTTAATAATAAGATAAAATTTTTTACCTATTTTGAGCTGAAATTTGATTTTTCGTTCATGTTTTCTTTGATGGGTTTTCTGTATGTTTCTCTTGCAATGCTTGGGTTTCATGCAAACCTCAGTGAAGATTTCGATATAGGTGCTTCTTAAAGCTTTGTTACAAAACAAACAAGAACTCGATTGAGGTTGATTAATATCGATCAAGAACAGAAGAAAATTTCAATTGCCTTCTTACTGGAGTTGGATCAGCGTTTGAAGTGTACGCAGTTTGTTCTTCGACTCCCCCTCTTTTTTTACATTTGTTAATACTCGTTAGTCAGCAGCTTAAGAGAGATGTGTGATGGGATGCTTTCACCAGTTGAAGGTGAGGAAGAAATCTCCAGCTCATGATCTCTATTAAACAAGAACAGGAAGATTAAAACTTTTGTTATTTATGTCCTGCTAAAGTTAGCATTTTGCTCCACTACGTGCAGAAATAACATGGCAGTCAAATACACTGATCAAAGGATCAACACAAACAATAATACAAAGAGTGTAGACTGCTATATATGCCCCATACTCTCGATTGGACCTGCAGGACTCAGAAGTGGGAACGAACACAAACTCGAGTAGAAGGAAGGAGACAGCAGCCCCAGAAATCCTGTAGGAGATTGGACGCCGGAAACCGCGTCCGTGCCAACGTTTTCACCGTCAGCAAATAGCGATTGCACCGTCAACGCTGGGGCCGCCAATTTGAGCGGAGGCGGCGGAGGGGCGGTTTCCCTCAGTGGTTGCGGCGTCGATCGGGCTACGCCCGTCAGCCGCTGCACCAGCTGCCGGAAGCCCCGGGGATCCACCCGGTACACCCTGGGCTGCGGTGGTGGTGCTTGGTCGGGCTTCTTCCAGGGCTTCCCCGGCGGCTTCTGCACCGAGTGGAGCGCCGCGTGGTACAGCGGCGCCCTCCCTCGCCTCTCTGAGGCCGGCGGTTCTGCGCGCAGGGAGAGAGAAGGGTTGCGATCCATTGCAGAAGACTGACGAGGAGGTGAAGGTTGAACACCGATCTTATAGACATCAATGGCAGCGTGCAACGGTGACTGTTGAACGGGTCAGGTGAGCGTGGCGGCTGGGTTGACTACCACGTGGAAATTGGTGGTCAAACAAGGCGGCGACGGTGAGCTCCGCACTGCACTCATTGGATTCTTTTTAAATAAACTCATTAAATAAAGGAATTATAAGATAAATTTTAAAAAAGAAAAGAAAACAAGTAGCCCTTTCTATTTATTTAGTTTAAATCGGCGCTTTATGAAGTCTATTTTAGTGTCTTCGAGTCAACTATACAGAAAGGAAAAATATTTATCATTAAAATAATAACAAAAAGGAGTACTAAGTCGGTACGTCTTTCCATATTTAGCAACCTGGAAAGGATATGGCACACAAGTTAGTTGCCAAACTTTCTATTGTTTCACATAATATCTATACTGAGTGTGAACGTGTCCACGTTGATGAATGATGGAGGACAAAATACCATGGTAAGTTAAGCCACGTGGAGTGGTACGATTATTACCGGTAGGCATTTACAATCACAGGCAATAAGAAGCCGCTATCACATGGAGGACCAATTTGGGCATTTTACATTCACCTCTAACTAGTTTTCACCTCGGGCATCAATTCGACAAAAATGCGCAGCCTCTGACCGTAATAGCCTCCACTGCCCCCCGCTCCGACGGTGAGTGGCGCCACCCTCTCCTCCTCCCTGTTACCAGCACTGCCTCCTCCGCTGGCGCCATCGTAGCATGTCGCTGCGCCCTCCCCACTCGGTGGTGGCGCCCTCGTCACCCGCTCCCTCAGCAAGGCCGAAGCCACTGTGGTCACCTCTCCCCCTCCTTCCTCACGATCGAAGACAACATGAGCAGGGAAGGGAAGGGGAAGGAGGAGAGGGCAACGCCGCCCGTGGTCATAGTAGAGGGCGGGGGCCCAACGACGGTCGGAGGCTTCTGGTACAGGGAAGAGGTGCCCCTAAGTAAAAATCAATTAGGGGCGTCACTTGGAAAAGCCTAATATTAAGATTTTTTTTAAGGTAAAATGCCCTCAATCTTGATTCGACTTAATTTGAGGCACACTTCGAGCCCAATCTTTCCTAAGACGTGTCCACATACATCAAATCCCACCTTATCCAATGGCCTTGTGACCTCGTCTCCACAAATAAAAATCCGACCTTTAGCCCAATCTAACGCACCTCCACTCTGCTGGTGCAGTAATCGCCGATGTCTTCCCTTCTTCTAAACCCCAACAGAGCCTTCTCTCCACTCTCCCGACAAGTCCTCAAAGCATCTTTCTCTTCTCTCTGCTCCATCTCCAATGCTCGAATTCTGCTTGGCAGCCGTCCTACCGCCCATAGAGTAGTTGGGTTTAAGCCGCGAGCCTCGCGAGATAGCTTTGACGCAGAAGCACTGCCGGAGAGCAACACCAAGAAGAAGAGCAGGAACAATAACAAAAAGATCATTCTCTTCGGTTCTACGCCGCCGCCGTTGTCGGAGGAGAGAGGAGGCAGCGCCGGAAACTCGAGCGGGAAGCCGGCCGCCGAAGGTTCCTCGTGGGTTTTCTTGCAGAGGGCGTTCAAGAGAGTGTTGGCCGTTCTGTCGAACCTCCCGTTGGCGATCGGGGAGATGTTCACCATCGCGGCATTGATGGCTTTGGGTATGTGAGCGATGGCAACCACTTTGATTTGGCCATTCTTTTTTGCTTTATATTGGTGAATTATCCCATCTTAAATTGTTTACAGTATAGATGATTTTTACAGTTCTTATTTTCCGTTGAGTAATTTCCTTTGAGGAATCATTTACCTGCATTTGCCATTAGCATTATCAAAAAGAAAACAAGGGCCATTAGCTGAATGGAATTACTTTGAAAATCTATAACAATTCATGATGAATAATAACAATGAGAAATCATCACCGAGGAGGTATCCTGGTGGTTAGCACACCTTTGTGCATTCATATATAATGAGCAGATTTTAGTTTTTTTTCAATAAAGAAAGAAGAAATTAGGAAAAATTGACCATAAATGTTTTTTAATATCTATCTGAAATGCCAAAAATTCATGAAAGAGAACTAATAGTAAAACATAAAGCGATTAGTTGTGGTGGTGGCTCATATGGTGTATTTAGATAATGGATGATTGAGGTTATGGGTTGAGAAGTAATTTAAGATGGAATCATCCTAGGATTAGGTTAAGGTTTAATTAAGTCTAGGTTAGGGTTGAATTGAGTCTTATTAAATCTAGGTCTTAGAAGCGGTTTAATAGGATTTTTTTTTGTCGGTGGTAAATTTCTTTTTAATTATGATTGAAGTAAGAAAATTTTGAATTTAATAAATCAACGTTTCTGGACTTCAACTGATTCTGTTTTGTTTATTCAAATCATCTATTCCATATGAGTTAGTGTATGTTTTTGAGATTAATTGACTTGCAATATGTTATAGGCCTTTGATTTTGTTAATCTCCCTTCTTTGTCTCTTTTATTTTCTCTTCCCTCCCTTTCTTTCTCCAATCTCTGAACTTATACCTCTCTGTTATTTACTACTGTTTAGGTTTATGCTGTAAATAATACTCAGTAGCAATTTTCTTCCAAGTTGCTGGCTGGCTTAGTTGATTGCAACTATCTTTGCCACTTCCCATTTGCCAAAAAAGATGAATTTTTTCAAGCTAAAGGCCAGCTACCACCAGTTTGTTTGGTAACTATGTTATGATGCCTCAGTCAATGATTTGTGAAGGTCCTTCCATGTTGTTTGGTATCAGAGCATCCTTTACCACTGAGAGGTGCACTATTTTGGTGTAGAAGCCAAAAACTGATAGAAGTAGCAAAACCTGGGGAGTAAAACCAAGAAGAACAAAGATATAAGACTACAAAATGAAAATAATTTAATGCAAACATAAGATTGAGGGTCTAGTTGAAATAGATGATCTATATGTTTCAAAAGAATAAATTCTTCCAATACTCTTGCTTTTTTATTAATTAAGAAAGAGAGATTAATGAAGTTATCATTTAGATTCTGGAGGTTTATGTGACTCTTGAGTCCTAATTAAGCTAAAAGAGATTTTGTAAGAAGCTGAAAGCCTTTCATAATTTACGTTTCTTTAGTGTTGGGCGATCAGGAAGAAGTACATCCGAAACAGTTAATATCATAATAGATAAAAGTATGGGGATGGAAATTCTGGGGCCAGAAAATTTTGAAAGAACAACTAATGTCTGCATTTCTGAAAATTAGGAATAGTATGGATTGATGATAATTTTAAGGGAAATTCATTATTAGTGATTTGAAAAATGTTTGCAAGAGATGTAGTAACACATTGGTGATGTGGATGAAATAATGCAAATTACTGGGGTCAGGTAAGGTGGAGGAAGGCATAAGAAGTTTTATTGGAAACAATAACGTAGATTTTAATATCTTTTGTTGGAAACAACAAAAAAAGGTTTTGGTATCTCTTGTTTTAGCCTGTGACATTACTTTTAGCATGTACCAACAGGTTGAAATGAAATATGTTTTGAATGATACCATAGTAGGTAGGGGGTAGAAGATTAAAACGCGCGAACTTTGATGCATCCTTCAACTGTAACATCAAAATTTCATTGTCTGGCAATTTTCTTTGGAAATGAATATGAGATATAGTAAACAAATGGAAAGCCCTCAGTTCTTAAACCTTCCCCTTGATATGTTGCTTCAAGTATGTGCTTTTCTTCAGTTTAGAAGTTGTCTTTGCATATTAGAGCTGCTGCTTGCTCACTATTATAGTAATTGCTAAACATGTAATTAATATTTAGCAATGCGTTACATTTTTGTACTTCTTGAATTTCATAGGCACGGTTATAGATCAGGGAGAGGCTCCAGATTACTACTTCCAGAAATATCCAGAAGAAAATCCTGTGTTTGGGTTTGTAACTTGGCGATGGGTACTTGCTCTTGGTTTTGATCACATGTTCACCTCTCCAGTTTTTTTGGGCATGTTGATCTTGCTTGCAGCTTCACTAATGGCCTGTACATACACAACTCAGATCCCTTTGGTTAAAGTTGCTAGAAGGTTTGCTTCCTCTTGATTTGGTGTCAGAAACTGCAGCTAAGCAATATAACTAGAATTGTTTCTTATTTCCTTACATGCAGATGGTCTTTTATACACTCTGCAGAGACTATTCGCAAGCAGGATTTTGCAGACTCCCTTCCACAAGCATCCATTCAGGATTTGGGCATTATTTTGATGGGTGCAGGTTATGAGGTAATGGACAAAACACGTCACCTGTTTAACCAGAGTCTATCAGGGCTTTTTTTTTTTTTTCTGTTGTCATTGAAATCTTTGGATTATGCATTCAATTGATAAAAACATCAGAAAAAAGACAACCCGCCATCATAGAGTTAGGAACAAAGGAACAAGATGAGATATTTACATAGGCAGCATCATAGATGGTGCTCATCGTTAATAGTTACAATGTGGTGTATGCTTAAAGAAAAGGCCAAGTTTTGTCTAACTTTTACATTCTTATATGTGGAAAATTATAAAATCAGAATAATTTTATATGGTTTTTTTATTACTAATCAATTTGAAATTTTAAGCCATAACAAGTAAATAGAAAAAATAAGAGGGGGCAAGTATTATAAAAAGGGGATTAAGAAATATCATAGGTAGTATGGACTTCTGTTGAATGTTGGTTGAGTTCAGTTCTGTAAAAATGTAAGCCACAAAAGTTGATGCATGTAAAGTTTAGCATAAACAAATATTAAAGAGAAATATGCAAGGATTTTTGTAACAAAGTTAGATATAGGTGGATCAGATCATAATGTGTTTAATGATTGTCAGAAATACTATTATCTCAAATAGGTGCTCCTTAGTCCTGAGGTACACATGGAGACAAAAGAAGTAACAAAATGATAGGATGAGAGCAGTTGTGATTATTTGCATTTTATGCAGCAGTGCCATGTCTTAGTCCATACCTTGAACATGTATCTCAATTACCATTACGTTTAGTTTCATGTGGCTGGATGAGTAGATCTGATGCAGTTACCCTGAGTTGCATTGTCTTTACAACATTTATTATCTTTGATAGTATATATGTTGCATGATACATGTTATATTTGCTTAGAAGTTCTGGAATACAAGTTTGTGCTATGTAATATTGAGATTTCTTATCATTTCTGGTTTGAATGTGCAGATCTTCCTAAAAGGGCCATCTTTGTATGCTTTCAAGGGAATGGCTGGCCGATTTGCTCCCATTGGTGTGCATTTAGCTATGCTTCTGATCATGGCAGGAGGTACGCTTAGTGCTGCTGGAAGCTTTCGAGGATCCGTAACAGTACCCCAAGGCCTGAATTTTGTTGTGGGTGATGTGATGAATCCTAATGGTGTTCTTTCTTTTCCTAGTCAAGAATTTGATACTGAAGTTCATGTTAACAGATTCTACATGGATTACTATGACAGTGGAGAGGTAAATTAACACAATCAGAATGCTTTTCTTTAGCCTCCATCATTCTTGACATTAACATGACTCTTGAGATGGAAATAAATAGTTCACCTGATGCTTCTTTTGAAAATGCCCAGGTATCACAATTTTATACTGATATTTCACTGTACAGTCTCGATGGGAAAGAACTAATGAGAAAAACAATCAGGGTGAATGATCCATTAAGATATGGAGGAATTACAATTTACCAGACTGACTGGGGTTTCTCAGCGCTTCAAATTACTAAGAATGGTGAAGGTCCTTTTAATCTAGCAATGGCTCCTTTACAGTTGAATGGTGACAAGAAGCTTTTTGGAACATTCTTACCAACTGGAGATGCTGATTCACCAAATGTTAAGGGAATGTATGTAAGCTTTTATTTCTCATATTGTGAAAATGAATTAAAAGGAGCTAAGCTGTTCTTTTGGGGAAAATCTCAGATCAATGCTGGCTCGTGACCTACAGTCCATTGTCTTGTATGATCAAGAGGGAAAATTTGCTGGAGTTCGCCGACCTAGCTCGAAACTTCCAATTGACATCGATGGTACAAGGATCGTTATCGAAGATGCTATTGGTAGCAGTGGCCTTGATTTGAAGGTAATGCTTGATAATTCAATAGAAAGATCCATGAAAAATACCATTCGTGACTGAGTTCTTGGTACTTTAATTCACAGACTGATCCAGGGGTGCCCCTTGTGTATGCTGGATTTGGTGCTCTGATGCTGACAACCTGCATCAGCTACTTCTCTCATTCACAGGTCAGTAAGTGTCTTTTGCCTTTGTAGATGCTAAGTGTACTTGATTACCCAACACAGCAATGGTTGTGAATCCAACTAAACTGGGATCTAGCTATAATCCATGCTCTTTAAGTGTTGTAAGGATCTATTCTGCAGATATGGGCACTGCAAGATGGAACAACAGTCATCATCGGAGGGAAGACCAACAGGGCAATGCTCGAGTTTCGTGATGAGGTGAACCGATTACTAGATGAAGTACCAGAACTTGTTACCATTGACAAGAACTTCAATGGATAATTGTGATTGGTTTGCTTCTGGCTTCGATTTGAATGGATTGGTGATGAGTTCATCGGAGTTCTCAAGGCCTTGGTGATACTTCTATCGATCGCTTTCAGACATATACTGTGCTCAAGCTGACATTTTTACAAACACTTCGTTCGCCTCAGTCACAATTCAAGAGGAGGATCTACAGACACAAACTTCGGAGAAGATTGTCAATTCAATTATATAGTCCTTAACATTTGTATAGCATTTTTGGTTAATTGTGAAGGCACCATTTCCAAATGTAAAGAAGAAAGAATTCTTTTTTACCTAAATTACACAAGTTCAAAAGCCCTGAAACTGCAATATTTAGTTGGTGTGTCATCTCATTAGATCAAAATGTCTGTTCTAAAGCTGAAGAAGCAGCAACTGTTGCCATTGTAATACAAGCTACTGCATTCAGAGATAAACTTGTCCATCTATTCATCAAAACAAAACACACAGACACTGCCCATAGGCTTAAAACTCATCACTAACAACTTTGCTGAATCCAAGAGAATTCCTATTATCATGTGCTGCATTGTGGATGGCTTGAGCAAACCAACATCTAGCAAAGTGATCTAATAAAAAACAAAGGACTTCGATAGTAAATCTATAGCACACCCCTTGACCAAGCTAAGGAGATTGATGGACTACTCACACATACACAAATTAAGCACAAATTGCTAGGTCTGATTACTCATCTTTCCGGTAAAAATCAATTACTAACATGAACCGATATCAAATAATCCTTTCATTTAACCATATCATAATCCTAAAAATCGATTATTGACAGGCAGGTTTCAACTTTTCTTGCAGGACTAGTCAAATCAATTATTGCTTAATGGAATAATCTAAGAACTCATTGTTAATAGATAATACTAAGCATGGAATAGATTTTTAGTACATTAACTGAGGTGATCACCAAGTAGAGTTGAAGATATTTTATTTCCAATTATGTGAATTCTGCTCTTTCATCTGTATGATTTCCCTTCCATTCAAATAATTTCCTTGAGGACACAAGGTGGAAAGACTCCTGGAGTTTGTACAATCTTCATTATTGCTACACCATGTTGCAACTTGAGCCTTGCCGGGCCTTGACATAAATTGGTCACATGATACGAAAATTACGGGACACTATCTTACACACTGACATGAGATTTTCATTTATGACCTAGTATTGCACATCCAGTGTAAGAAGAAACATTAGAAACATCACGATCGACATGAAACTTGATAAAAGAAATATTTATCTAATGCAAATATGTAGAATGCATCTGATTGATCTGTCAAAACCCAATAACATTGAACATGCACTGTCAGTTAATATTTGGAGCATTTTGATAAACCTGATGAGCAAACATCAACTTCAACATACCTTTGCATTTCTCACAAGCCAAAAGTGCCATTTTATCAGCTGAGCAGATGTTACAGTCACTTTCTACCTGTGTTCCAAGCAAAAACATACCTGATGTTGCCTCTCCAATCTTCCCATCCAGTACAAATTTTGTGCAGAGTTTTCATTCAAACTAAGATTATACAATCCGAAGGCAGCCATTTTCTTCAAGCCTAACTACAAGTCTAAAAGTTAACTTTTATCTGACTGCGGATTTATGCCCTGGTATTCAACATAGGGCCTTATGAAAGTTCTCCTCCACCAAACTTCAAAGGCTCTCTGAAGATTTGGGCAGTTGTCGCCAACCTTCAGGAAACTTCCCAACCAAGAAAGCAGAATACTCTGCTGATCTTCTAAAGGAAGTGTCAAAATGGTTTGGCCAATTCCTTCCTCCACAACCTTCCGATCAAATGATCTGCAACCATGTTGTAACCAGCTGTAGTCACCAATGAGTGGCTGTAGCCAAACTTGTAATAGCAGCTGCCTGGTGTCCCTCGGCGGAAGTATCTCTCCTTTTCCAATACCAACAAAAAGCCTCGCAGTGATGCAGCTAACGAGGTGGCGTGACATGATTGGTAGCTTTGAGTGTAATTCAGCAAGCTCGTGCTGGCCAGCCCACAACACAGCAAATTCATCTGCTGCATGCCTGTCAGCCAGAATCTCAACTAACCAAAGAAGATTATCTGCCTCGAGAGCAATATGCCGCATTACAGGGTCTTTGCTGTCCAAAGATTTATCTGAGAAACCAGGCTCAGATGCTTGTCTAAACAGATCCAACAGTGATTCCATGCAGCTCCTACATGAACTGTAAAACAACTCAATGCATATGTTTACAGATCCATTTGTCCAAATATTGTTTTCTTTCAGAAGTTTCAGCACTAAGGATTTCATTTCTCGCCGACCTCTATCTTCATTGCTTTTGAGGACTAACTCCATTATATGTGCAAGAGTGTCATTTGGTGGATCTGATAAATCGGAAGCTACTCGCTTCAACAGAGGGCTTGCACCATAATTCTGCAGATGTCGGATAGAAGACACCACATTTTCTTCTTCCTCTGCAACCCAAGGGACTGCTTCCAAATAATCTAAGCAGGATTTGATGCATGCACGGAAGCCAAGTGATTCTGCAACCTGTTAAAGACCAATTCAAATTACGTGAAGTCCTTATCAAGTTAATAAGACTTGGTAGACTAAAGTAAAGAAACTTGGAACATCTTGCAACATAAAAGAATGTAGAAGTTGGACCTGATAGAGCCATCTAATTTCTATACCATGCTCACCACAAGGGCTAAAGTGGGTCGCGTAATACCTCATCCAAATCCATTTTGCATTGTATTAGAACAGATAGTATTATATAATTGTGTACTTTATAATATCATATTCATGTATCTAAATTGGCTACCTGTAAACTATTGGATATGGATGCTTATATGAATTTTCTATCTATAACTTAAAATTGAAAAGGAACAATGACTTACTGTAAAATTATTGGTTTACCTAATAAACAGAAGCATAATGTTCAAGTAAACCTACTTTATATATACTTCTAATATCACTTCAACTGCCTAAATTAAATAAATATCCAGTAAGTAGATGCATACATCCAGAATATGGAAAAAGCAACAATTTGCATATGGTAATTATATGACCCTGTTTTACTATTCATTCTAGAATCTCAATATTACATCATGAAGCAACCATTCCCAAATTCTCTTTCACAACTTGCATGGATATATTAAGTGAAATCTTCTATTCTCCTCAAAGCTAAGTCAATATTAGAGTTCATTATAGACTATTGGTCATACTCCATCATAGTCACTATGGCATCTTAGTATGGGATTCCATTATCACATAATATGACAAAGATTTTGTCAATTTGACTTAACAAAAAAACTACTTCAACCTTCTAATATCTACTGTTGACTTTGGCTGCATCTTCCTTTTCTAATTTCTATTCCTAGATAACATCATGTCAGTAGCTAATTATGTCCTTAGAAAGTTCCCATTCTTGGTTTTTAAGCAATGGAACACCATGGAGAAAATGCATTACTTTTGAATCGAAGTACATAAGATGTTTTCATAGTAAATCTCAACAAAATATAAGCTTCTTGAAAATGTGGCCATTATTTGAGGCTTAAAATCTTATTTGTTTCTTAGTCCTTGAAGACTTTTCTATTTGTAGTTATAACGACCACAAAAAGGGCAGCCTGCATTTGAGCTGCTTTGGACTCTTGAAAGTACATGAGCTATAACCCACAAGTTAACAGCAAAAAAAGAACCTTTTGTAACTTAATAAAAACATCATATCAAAGCTGAGTTCATTTGGCTAGGTCATTGTATTGTGTCAGTTTATTGGTTTGCAGATAATTCTATATGTAAAACCAGAAACTAAAGCTTGGATCAGGAAAACAAAAAATAAAGATAATTCTGACAACACAAAAGGATGAATGAACCTTGATTATGCGTAGCACACGCGGAACACTTTGCTTGATCAGTTTGTGCTTAAGTTCTTTGCAGTACATCAATCCCACTGTCTCAACATAGATCTCCACATCTTCACAGTCTGCTACTTCAAGGCATGGTACTGGAGACTGCCCGGCAAGCTTATCCGCAAAGAAACGACTATTTTCTGCAAGAATGTTCCAATGCACACTCATCCTCACACAGATTCCTTCCTTACCAAACAAAATCACTTTCAAATCGCTGGTCTCAGGCTGGCCAAACCCCACTGATATCTTGCGTTGCGGATTATCAACATTTGGTTTTGGTGGCCTCTCTGATGGCCTCTCAGGCACACTTGCTGGACTGACAGCAGCAGGAACAGCAGTATCGGAAGTCGGACATCTCTGATCATCCGAAACAACCTTAGACCCTAATGAGCCGGAATGTGTTTTCTTATCGACTGTCGAAGTCGCTGTCCTCTGAAGTGATGAAGCCCTCGATCGCAATGGAGATGATGCTTTGCTTTTGCTTTGGTGATTATGATTTTTGAGGGACTTCTGAAGAACTGCAGGAGAGGGACAACACCAAAACCCTTCCGGGGTTACTGCAATGGGTACATTCCGGATCTTTGTCTGGCCCTGCTCAAGCCTGCCAACTCTAAAATCTGCCATTTATGTGACTTCTACTTCCTAATAATCTTCCAAACAAGAAAGCATTCGCTCGAGGTGGGCGTCAGCTGTGAATCTATCAACTTCAAAACCTTATTTTCTCATAACAAGAAAAAACTGTCATCTTTAGAAAATGGCACAACATTTATACCTGCAAAGAAAACCCAAAAAGTAATTACAATACACCAAACCGCATAAGGATTCAAGAAAAGCACTTTCAAATAGCATTTCAGGATCCAATAACTGAAACATAAATGAGATTGCAAGAGACATCATCAAAGAATAGAGAGATTTAAGCATGAGGTTAAATACCGTGAACTTCACAATATCCGGACTACAGTATGGAATCAAATGGTGCTTAACTTTGTTCGACATCGAGTTAGATTCAGCAATTATAGGACAGAAAAGGATCCAAAACCTAAGAACCACAGGATGTAATGCAAAGTTTCAAACTTTATTCTGATTTCTTCGCAGAACGTTGAAAGATACAAGCTTTCTCCTACTATTTTCTATGCAAAGAAGAAAGATCCAATTTTTCAGCAACTGAAGACCGGGTCTCGGTGAAAACCTAAGAAAACATCAACGGGGAGAAAGATTCGCATATAAGCAAGGAAGAAAAGAAGGCTACGATGCAACTATAGCACCAAAAAAGGGCTTTAAGAGAGCTGAAAGTAACATTTACGCCATCTAGGCATGGGCTTCTCGTTCCATCCACCATCTCCTCCTTTTGCTCCACATATTATCCTTCCCCTGTTTTCGGATCCTAATGATGGAAGCGAGCTCCTGTGTCGAGCATGGATAGCGAGAAATGATGGGTTGCTCGAATCATTTCCCTCCGATTCAAGTGGCAGAAAAGATGTAAACTTTTGCTTTACCAGATACAACTGTCGCCACTTTATCCCTCCAATTTATTCCAAGCCATGAACCCTTCGCTGTCTACCTCTTTCTCTCTCTCTCTCTCTCTCAAACTTTTGTACAATATTAACAGAGCACCGCTCTGTTTTCGAGTTTTTTAGACGAGAGGAAGATGATATGACCAAAATGCCTCTTTACCTGTGATGAGCTCGATAGAACAAGGAGATTTCGCACGAGGTGCGATCACTGTTCACCGAAATCCCACTCTCAAGTCCCAGCAGCAGCAAAGAAGCCATTAGAGGGCGAGAGAAAGATAGGCCTTTTGCAACAAGAGATCTGGCATTCGAGTCTCCGGGTAAAGCTTGTCATGGGGACCGAGAAGTAGCGGGAGACCGGTTTCCATTCCAATTGGGTGCTTCTGTGTGCTGGTACTCGAATACTTTACGGTGCTCCACACAAAACAACAAAGCATGTTCATTTCTGGGGCCACACACTGCAATTCCTGCAGCAGGAAGGAGCAAAGAACGTTGGATTCATTCACTCAATAATGTTGGTGGGTGTGTTTAGTTAATTAGTGGAAGCTATTGGGATGTGCATGGTGCACATGGAGAGACACAGAGAGATAGAGAGAGAGAGAGAGATGAAGATGTCTTGGGGAAAGATTTAGGACGTATATATTTGGATTGCATGGTTGGATTCTAGAGAAAAGGATGGATTTTGTGTTAAGGAATAACGATGGTAAACTTGTTCTCTTGTGTGTGTTTGGACTCACTGCACTGTGCCCATATAATTTGCTATTTTCACTGGTTTGCATCATTAGCTTGTATTGGACTAAGACTGATGGAATGTTTGAACTTAAAAATATGAACATCAATCAAAATGCCCACTTTTGGTTTTTAATTCATGAGATTTGATCATTGGAAAGGGAATCAGAATAATCGATTGTTGGTGGTGGTGTGTGGTGGGGGGAGTGAGATTCCAATGCTTGTTTCCCGGAATTCCAATACTTATATGATTGATCTATATGAAAATAGAGGTGAGATGAGGTTTTGGACTTGATCTCTTAGATGCTAAATCACTAGTCAAGAAATAATTTGGATAAATAATAACTTACTTTGATTTCTATGACATGATGAATTTTTCATAATGAGTTAAATCGCTACCACATGACATTATTGGAACAAATATTTCTTATCACAACTCAAAATATTTATTTAAGCTGAAGGCTTCCTTGTCGTTGGTGAACAAATATGTCGTGGCTGGTGAGTCAACATGGCTCGGTCCACGGGTCGATGTCGGGAGTCTTCTGCTGGCTGAGTTGGACGCCGAGGTAGGTTGGGCCCTCACGACAAGGTGTTGATCAACGTTTCTCAGTCTGGGCGTCGTCTGCGTTGAGTAGAGTCTCTTTGTTCCTGGGCTGGTTGGCAGCTCACCTTCGTTCACTAGATGGCGATTCCTAGGTCGAGATGCTCGTGGCTCAGGGTGGTCGCTTGCTTGTAAAAATGGCCTTCGTCTGGTGATTCTCGACTTTGGCCCCTTCGACGAGCAAGTCAGTAGTTGTCTTTCTCTTCTTTTATATTATTGTACGAGGGTCGGTCGTACGCGGGTTCGGCGTGACGGCTGATCCTCAGGGGATGAGACGGAACTGTGCAGCCGCTGTCCTGGGACACGTGGGACCGCGTCAGACAGCGCCGCCCTGAGCTTCCGGGAAGGGATATGTCAAACAGTGCCTCGGTACGAATTATGACTTAGCGTGTGGGGATACTCCGCTTGCTGACCTAGCATCGGTACAAATTTTGACTTAGCGTGTGGGGGTGCTCCCCTTGTTGATCCGACTGTAGCGCGACGTGACATCGATTGTAACGTGTCTTGGACCCAAAATATACCTTATCATGCTAGGAGGACCGACTAGAGCTTACATCCGGAAGGCCTCCAAAGTCCTGCAACCCACCACCTGTTCGATGAATTGCGACCTTCCTCTTCCTTCAGAATGTTTATACGGAAGGTAAAGATTTCGCTGCTATTATTAATATTTTAGCCAATCACACAGATAGAGAAGCTAACAAACAAGACTCACAAGTTAGCGTACCTTAGTGGCACTACTGGCCTGGAAAGACGAACAGTGTGGGAGGAATCGAAGGCGAAGTTCTTGTTTCAGACTTGGTCTGGCTCAGTCGCCTTCCCATTCAACAAGTTGAAGATATGTCACTGTTCACTTGTTTTGTCAACTTCACCCGTGGGTAGTATGGCGACAAGGCAACTTTACAGGGCACCGAGTTTCTAGTTTTGGGGTGTTTCCTCTTTCTTTCTTATTGGAGATACAGAGGTGGAAGATAAGGTTGAGTTGGAAGCTTGTGAAGGGCTCAATTATGCTTGCTATGTACGATGGATTTGCCAGAAGTCACCAACCAGGCATAAAGCGTGATATTGGTATGTATTATTGATCGAATGACTTCGTCCTCTTGCAAAATTGAGCAGCGGATTGACAAGGAGGAAGAAAGGTGGAAGAGAGACGAAAGAAGAAGAGGGAAAAGAGAAAAAGGTTTAAGAACCTTAGTGCAGCGAAGTGGTAGAGAAAGGAAAGGAAGGCTAAAAATAAACAGTAAGTTACAAAGATAAATGTGTATATTTTAGTTCATACTTATTTAATAATGAAACTTATTAGTGTCAAAATTGATTGTCCATCTATGTCACAAAATTGATCCACTTTCTCAAGATCATGACATTTAGAGAACTGAATCTTTAAGAGGTAGATGTTTGTTTTTAAGATGATATCTTAAAACAAAGTCTATTATGTCATAAGAAGTCACATGCAAAATTAGTGTTGGGATGTATTCAACATGATTACTCTGATGTTTAAATTAATTCGTGAGAGTGAAAAAGAAAATATTATATCTTAAATCATATCAAATATACTTATATTTGAATTGATTGTATGGAGGATGATTTTAAAAAAAACTTATATTTTAGGTATTTTTCAAACAATGCCGGTAAGAAGATTACTATTTGCACCTTTATTTTTACTATTTATAATTTTATCTTAATTTGTTTTAATATTTATAAATTATCCCTTAACAAATGATGTAATTTTTTTTTTTTTTTCATCCTCCTCCCTCTCTTCTTCGTCTTCTAATCTTTCTCCTCCCCCTCATCTTTTTCCTCCTTAGAAGATGACATCAAGGGGGAAACAAGGTTAGATAGTCCGACAACAATAATGAATAATGTTAAGGACAAATGATAGGGTGACAACGTGCGATGCGATGATAACAATAAGCAAATCATTATCGATAACGAGGGTAAAATAAGATATTGTGAGGAAGAAAAAAAAAGTAAAATAGATAATATTAAGACTATAAATAACAAAAATAATATTTTTTTAGAGATCGCCAATAATAAAAGAGAGGTTGTAAATAGTAAGTTTCTTTCTTGAATTATACTTTAATTTAAAAAATATTATAACTATTGTTTCTCCTCTATCGCTCATCTTTCATTGCCTTTCATAACCCATCATTCATCGTTCAGAAAGGAAGAAGAGGGGAGGAGAGAAGGGAAGAAAAGGAAAGGTGAAAAGATGAAGAGGAGAGATAGTTTGAATAGCTTTTGAATTTGATGATATTTTATATAAAAAAATAAAAATAAATATATTATTTAAGAAATAATCAAATTATAAATATTTTTTAGAAAATTTATCCTTTATCAAATTTATTTGAAAGATGCATGTTAAAGAGATATCAAAAGTATATATATATATATATATATATATATATATATATATATATGAGTTCCAAGAAACTAAATATAACGATTCAAGATGTCCGTTGCATCTTATATAACGGTATATAGAATGTTTCACCATAACCCCGAAATCGACGGTGAAGATATCAGCTGTTATCCACCAGCTTCTTCTCCCGGCTTAAAGCCTATCCACACTCTTATCCCTAGAAATGGTGAAGAGGAATAGTGAGTGCTAATGGCGACTACCTCGCTCTCCTCCCTCACCGTCGCCTTCTCCTCTCTATCCTTCTCTTCCCACGTCTCCTCTAGTAATAAGACCTTATACTCTCCGTGGATACGGCGTCGTCGGACCGCCTCGCCCCTTCGGTGGAACTCTCCCACCGCGATCGCCTCCTCCACCACCTCCTTCCCCATCGTTGCCGTATCCGGCGGTGCGGCTGTCTCCGCCGAGGACCTCGAGGGGGTGAGCCTCGAGAAGTACGTGAAGTCCCGGCTCCCTGGCGGGTTCGCCGCGCAGAGGCTCATCGGGACCGGCCGGAGGAAGTGTGCCATCGCTCGCGTCGTTCTCCAAGAGGGAACCGGGAAGTTTGTCATCAATTACCGTGATGCTAAGGTTTGGAACTCTTGCTCTCTTTCGCCTAAGGTCTGTGATATACTCGTAGAATTAGGCGCTTTCATCCTTATTCGAAATACAAAATTGCTGTAAAAAATGATAAATAAAAAAATTGCTTCTTTATGCTATAACTGCAAACAAGTAACGATTTTGGCAGTATGTTAGCTTTGATTTTGGGGATATTAGTTGTATCGGATCGGGATTTGAGTCTTGAGTCATTGTTCCCCATTGTGAAATTTCATTAAGCTAGAAGTGAAAACGGAGATAGGGTTGATATTAAATTTTATTTCTGCCTCCTAACTAGACTGAATGGAACCAAGATACTACTTTTTCCTGTCTCAGGCAAATTTGTTGATGCTGGCAAACTGATTTACACGTGTTATTTCAGTTGTTGTTGTCGTTTATCTTGAAACACAATTAGTGCCTCTTTGTGTTCATCAAATATAGAGGAGTTACTAGAATCTCAAGCATAACTCATGCCAACTCTGCACAGAAATGAGAAAAGAGTAGTGCTTTAAATGCACACGAGAAACTCAGACAAACGAGTCATGCAAAATGTGTCAGTGATCTAGGAGGAGTGATGCAATTCATTTACAGTCATTAGATTAACGGAATCGACAGTAGGATTATCTGGGTATTCTTTTTGGGTTTCTCTTGTGGTTCCAGAAAACATTTCTCAGTGAGAAAAGCTGGCATAACAACCACCTTATAATCGTGGTAGTTATGTTTCTGCTAGCCCAAGATAATCATGTTCTACATAACAACCACCTTATGATGTGACAATCAATGGTGTTTTATATCGCAACCATGATAGCATCTTAGGGTAGTGCATGGCCAATGACAGTGTACGACCCATGCCTCCTTTTTATCAGCAGAATTTTTTTTTAAATGAATGAATTCATCTAGTTAGTCTTTCATTTGGTTGCTAAGTTAATATGCTGATGTTGGTGATGTGAGGAAGGAGGAAAATATTGAAGGGTTTGTCCCAATCAATGTTTCAAAACATCAGTGCCAGTTTGATACTAGTTCTGCCTTGGAAGGATTGCTGATGTTTTTAAAGTTTATGCCTAGGGATTGCAACAAATGTGTAGAAGAAAATTCCACAGACATAGTATGAGTTTGGTATTGTTAGTTAACAATTGTATCGAAACATGTAGTAAGCTCTCAACATGCATATGATGATATGCATATATCCTACTATTAGAGATGTAATCTCAGCGGTACTTGTGGTGCCTATTCACTGCTCATGATAACAAATTGTCAAACACTATAGATATGTAGGTTGGTCCGGTTGGAACATGGATTGTCTTCTTAGGCACTTGTTTTAAATGCAATGGATTTCGCTTTCTTCAGCTAGAATCTTTTTTCCGAAAATTACTATATGATTTGATCATTGGACAGGATCCTGTCGATGGATTCTCCGCCGTCCCTTCTAACCTTCCTTTTGCAAGCGGCCACATCATTCGCGAAACTTGCATCAATACCTGAGACTTGTAGAATAAGGCCCAATTGGCTTTTGACTTCCAGCGTGAATAATGGTCAAATTTGACCACAATATCTGGCGCTAGGAGGGGCCTATTCCTGACCACTTGCTCCGTGCCAGTGATCACCATGATGATTGTGAGTCAAACAACCTGAAGTTGAGTAGTCGAGCAAGATCCATCTCAGGCTATTTGGAGTGCCCTTCTCTCAGTTGATCGACCATGAACAGTGGTTAATGTGATCAACCCTATGTCATCTTGTGTCATGCTACAACCATCTTCCTTTGCACATGATTGTTAGGGCATAGTATGATCTACTGCTGCAAGCATATTCCATGTTTCACGTGCCTGTGATACATTTGCATCTTGAAAGGTTGGGTTATGCTATTTGAATCATTGAAATTAGAGATCCAATATCATAAATGCTATTTGGCTTTGCAAAAATAACCCGAACAAACACATTAAAGAAATCCATATTAAATAATCTTACTATAGGATCCATACCAAAGAAGTTGAAAACAACTAAAGAACCAAACTATTAAAAATATCACTGATCTTTAGGTCTTCTGCCCTTGTTTTTGATCCAATCAAATTGGTAGCTAATAATTTAGCAATGACAGTACTACCAAGTATAGTAAAGTATAGTAACCAACCTAGACAATTCAATCATGTCATGTCAAAAATAACTAGTTAACCATATCCCTCTTGTATTTTTGGATCAGTCAGTGTGCCCTATGTCTGCAGATATATCTTGCATGTACCAGATTACCACGACTTGGAAAGTTCCACATCATGTGCAACTATGGTTCAAGAATTGACACAAAAACAGTCTCTTTGTGTGAAGGTACAAGGTTGCACGTGTCTGATCCTCACAGATTGCATACTAGGTGAAGCCTCTTGCATTAATTTGTCCTTTTTGACGCACTTTAACATTCAGATGCAATGAATCAAGTGATGCCATTGGAACTTAATGTTAAGGTTTTTACTGTCTATCACTTAAATGTGCTCTCTAAACTAGCACTATTGTTATTTAAGTTTCACATTCAATATATTATAGTTCTTATTTTCTGTGAGTACTCGTCAGTGTTGAGTATTCTTATAGCCACAGAAGCTTTTTAACAACTTTACTAATTACTGGAATGAAATGTACAGGAATATTTACAGGGGAATCCTTTATGGCTGCAATACATCAAAACTCCATTATTAACCTTAGGTTTTGAGAGCAGCTATGATGTTTTTGTCAAAGCTCAGGGGGGAGGACTCTCGGGTCAGGCCCAGGCAATTTCTCTGGGTATCGCACGTGCTTTGCTTAAAGTCAGTCAGAACCACAGGTCTCCTTTGAAAAAAGAAGGTCTCTTGACTAGAGACTCGAGAATTGTTGAAAGGAAGAAAGTTGGTCTGAAGAAGGCTCGAAAAGCTCCTCAATTTTCCAAGCGTTGAAGTATTAGAATTTTGATCAACTATCTGCTACTTGAACTTATTTCTTGTAAGTATTTTACATATTCTTGCTTTCAGCTTCATGTGGTCTACTGTGTCAATTTTTTTAGAAAAAATAGTTGACTAGCTTTAATATTATTTTTTTTATATTTTGGATTGAAGGCTAATTCCTTGTAACAAAAAGGATTTGTTTTTATAAAGCAGATAAATTTGATCAAAATAGATCTTTGAGGTTTAGCATTATTTGGACTTAAGAATAGATATCACACTTCTTACCTGGCTGCTGACGGGAGATATTTATGCTTAACCTTTACAAGTCTAACATGTCATCTTTCATCTGGTTTTGGCACTTATTTTTAAATTTTTTCATATCTAAACTTTGTTTCATTCATCCTTCTGCTAACTGCAAAAGTATATCTTGGTTGATATATACGGAAACTATTCTTTTTTTTCCTGGATGCTTGAGTATATTCTGCTTTGTTCTTTTCACCGATGATAATTTTGACACTCAAAACATCCTCAAGGGGAAGTTCCATTGGAAACTTCTTTTGAAATCCACACATCTAAATCAAGTTGGTGTTGTGTTGTAAATGGACTTGGTGGGAAAAAAAAAGCGAAAAGATGACTGTGTCAGTCGCAACTGCACTCTAAAGGTTGTTCGAACTGATTATACTGGTTTGTTCCATATATTTGACTGTTATCTTTTCCAGTGCAGGTTTTTTAATATAATCCCAGCACACTCAGATGTTTCTTTTCGGTTTGCCTATTCTACTTTGGTTGGAACCCAAACTCTCTTGAGATAGGCTTCTCCTTACTAGAGCTGGGAAATGCATCTGGCTTTTGTTTTCGATGGACCATGTGATGTAGTGAATTTCCATTATGCCCTAATTATTTGAGAATACATTATCATTCACAGCTTGTTGGTCTTTTCTCTTTTGACTGTGTATGACAAGTTGGATTCTCTTGCTGCCATCCGTCCATGTTAACTATGTAAAATTTAAGCTTCCATGGATTATTAGGGTGGTTTATCCTATCCAAAAAAGGAAAACAAAGAATTTTTTTTTTAAATTGCTTTTACAATTGGATGTAGACCAGTTTATTTTATCTCAAAATGTGGTTGATAGACCCATCATGAAATTGGAATTATGTAAATCTTTGGTCCTTCACTTGGATGATCCTTTTTGTTTCCAAAGATCATTGGACAAAATAGGTTATCACAATGTTTCAGTTGATTACTTCACTAAGGTACTATTTGGTTGCTCATAAGTGAGCTACCATCAAGTTTATTTTGTATCAAGCTGTTCACTATCATTTTATTACTTGCAAGTAAATTATTTGCAGTATATATATTTGGCTAAAAGTTTATATTTCTTAAAGAATCTCACAAATGCATTTTATGCAGATACCAAGGGCCCATGATTGGGCGTTCTCTTCTTGATTAGAGTTATCCATCAAGTTTTCTTTATTTATTCTCACTATCGTCTACTTACAAGTGTCATGCCCACCTAAATATCAATTGGAGCCCTGCCCTGCAAACAAACTTTCCCCACCTACCTTCCCAAGTTGTGTGGATGAACACTGTCTCTCATTCTTCAACTCTGCTTTCCAACTGCTCATGCCTAATATCTGTTGTGCTTGATGTGGCATTTCTTGTGCAGGTAAACTTGTTCTCAATCATCCGCTCTCACAGGCTGGTTTAGTCCTTCCAAACTTGTGAAAGATCAAACTCAGTTCTCAAACCACAATAATACTATACAAAAAGAAACCCACCATACAAAGTCTCATGGAAAACTATGTTTATCTACCATCCCATCTTTTCACACCCTCTTATGTTTCTTTTCACTGTTCCATAACCTTTCTGATGGGGCCCAGTTATGGAGGTCTGTGATAGGGCCAGGCTGGAGGAGAGTCAGTCTTGGGTGGATCAACCGGGAAACGTCTTCTTTCTCCTGTAATTAGTATGTGGCTGTTGTGCCGAGTAGCAGTACACGTGGCCACCGGTATCAGGGAATTGTCCGGCTGCGGCCAGCACACGCGTGCAAGGGCGACCGCCGTGATGGATAGCCGGCGCTCGCCCGCACGTGCCGTGGAGCTCCACGCGCCGCCTCGGGGGACCACCTCCGCTCCGCCACCCGCCATATCTTGATAGACTTGTCCAGGCTCCCGCTGTATACCACGTACCGCCGGCCGGCCGCCCTGTCTTCCTGCCCCTGCTCCTCGGCTTCCGCTTCCACGGCCAGGCACTTGATTGGCCCTGCGTGACCGGAGAGAACGGCGACGGCACCGTGCGCCCCGCTGCTTTCGTCTCTCCGCCACACGCGCACCGTTTTGTCCGCCGATCCGCTCGCCACAATGCTCCCGGCGGCCGCGAGGCAGAGAACCGCCATCCTGTGCCCCCGCAGCGCCCCGCCGCTGGCCAGCGATCCTCCTCTTCCTTCCCGCTGCCAGTGGTTCACCACCCCGTCGGACGATCCGCAGTACACGAACCACGCGGCCGTCACCACCGCGGTCACGGCGCTGTCTTGCCGCAGCAGTGTCTGCACCGCCACGTGCCTGGTGGCGAAGGCGCCTCCGACCTTGACCCCCGCTGCCACCTCCCGTCGCCACGCCTTCACCGTCCCGTCCGCTGACCCCGTGAACACCAGGCCGTCGAACCCGGCGGCCACTGCGTTGACGGCGTCGTCGTGCGCGTTGAACGACTCGAGGCACTTGGAGTCTGACATCCGCCACACCTTGACGGTCTTGTCCCAAGAGCCGGAGTAGAGTATCCCGGCATCTTCCTCCAGGCTGAGGCACGAGACGGCGTCGAAATGGCGGAGCCACACGGCGGTCCTGTGCCGCCTCGCCTCGACGTAGTTGGAGGGTTTGATGGAGCTCATGAGGAAGTCCGCGAGAGTGGGGAGAGTGCCGACCCGCTTATTGACGGAGGAGTCCTTGGAAGAGGTACGCCACACCCGGATCTTACCGTCCTGGTGGCCGGTGAATACTCTGTTCCCGGCGATGACGATGGCCTTGACGAGGCCGCTGCTGGACCTGAAGCTGGAGAACTCTTGCCAGCCCTTCCAGACACGGATGTTCCGGCTGTCGGATCCGGCGTACAAAAGATCGCCTGCGGCGGCGAGGGAGTATACGTGGCCTTCTTGGCAGACAAGGGAGCCCACGAGGCCGGTGGTGATGGCGGCGGCGGTGGGGAGATCAGGAGGGAGCTGTTGCACCCAGGGGGAATTTGGGAATGGGGAGGAGCCAGTCGCCGGGTGACATGGGGAGACATTGCGAGGGAAGGTCCCGGTGCTCGTCAAGAAGCGGGCGGCGCCTTCGCCGGTGGCGGGACGGGGCTCGTCAACGGAAGGGTTAGTTCGTATCAGGTCGAGGAGCTTGGAGGAGCGCAGAGGACTTGCACGAGCTCCCTTTTTAGCTCCCATGATCAATGTAGATCGAGAACAAATACTGACGCAAAAGTACAAAACGTTGGAAGCGAAGAAGAAGGTGGTGGAAAGAGGTCGCTCATAAAGCAAAGAAGCACAAAGGCCATATCGTGCCTTTATATCTATCCCCCATCTATCCATAGTAGTACAGAAAATTACTTACATATTCCTCAAAGTTATCGATCGAAGTATATAGCGTGCCATCATTAATTTTGTTGTAGAAGCAATGTTTTCTTGATAAACGATTTTTGATGAAATATTTTGATTACTTTCAATGAGTAATAAGTAGATTTAATAATCTCCCACAAAGGAAATGATCAGCACACACCTATGTCTTCAAAGTTAATACGAAGAGTTCGATGCTTATATGTCAGTGATATCCATAGCATATGCTTTCGCCATTAATTGCGTAGTCAAGTAGGTTGGTTTCTTGCCCAAATGCTGAAGCTGATGGCAAGAAGGTTGCTAAGAGGACAATATCAATCAAAGACATGCATTCTGTCTTCCACAAACAAAGGCGAGCTTAGCAGCTGGCGATGCAACACAGCCGAAAGCCAGTGGCCACTGAGTTGCACAGTGTCTCAAGAACTGTGAGATCACTGCTCCATCTTCTTTTTATGATCATTGCTTTCTTTTCTCTTTCTTGGCCTAACTTCTTAATCCTATCCTGATTCATAATTTTAGATGCCTGAGATAACAATGACATTATCTATGCTCCTTATTTTGCTTGCTTCCGACAAGAAATCCTGTAAAGTGGCTGAAAGCAGATCGTAGCCAGATGGACCTCCTTGTGATCGTGATCCGTAATTTTGGATGCATGATTGCATATACATGTTTGTTGATGTCTATTTGGCGATTTTGTGACAGCATATTTGTGGTGTACTCGTGTTCTTGGGGTTCCACAATGGACAGAGGATGTGGAATTGTCCTATATGAATTGACCAATAGGTAAGGCGTAGAGGTTTCGTGCATGAAGTTGATCGATAGTTTCGTGCAAAGAACTGACCAACCAAGTTGAGTTTCCTTTTGTGCTCTGATGAGCAGAGGATTGGTTTTCACCATTTCTTAAAGGAATCTAATTTCTCTTTTAAGGACAATAACACTATCTGAAGCAAGCAGTCCTGCATGTTCGTGATTCTTCAGATAATGAACTCTTTATCTTGACAGGAAATTTATAGAATCAATGCACTGTTGCTAATCTCTCTTAGAGGACTTGGAATCAAGAAATTGCCGGCAATATAGATTAGCCAAATTACCATCTTGAATCGAGTTCATATCAGCCAATACCAGAAATGGCAGAGTTCCGCCACCTGACGAAGAAGGAACTTACAAGCAACCACTACTTGCCTACGACTCTGATTCCTCCACCCACGCCTCCACCCGCAGAAGCACGAACCCGACCGCGACGCCGACCAGCACCAGGCCGTTCATGATCGCGGCGATCCGGAAGATCTCCTCCGCTGCGTTGCAGGTGGAGGACAACGCTCCACCCCTGCTCTTCGTCTTCCCCTTGGGTGGCGCCCTCAGAGAGCTCAGAACCTTGGCGAAGGCGGCGGCGGTGCATGCCGGGAGGCCCAGGGACGACACGTTGTTGTTGGCTTTGAGCCCTCCGAAGCTGTTCATGCCTTGCATGTATTTCACACTGTGCTTCCTCCTCATCGAGGAGTTGAGGCTGGAGCATGACACGGCCGCCGCTGCAGGGACTGCTGCTGCTGAGATTGCTGCCATTGGTTGGTATGAGAACCCACACTCTGTATACAAAACAAAGTCACGCACAGGTTAGTGCTGATAGGATACTACCGCAGGCACAATGGCAAAGGAAGTGGTCATCACCTGTGTTGTGCTGTGGGTTCAGTGATGGAAGAGTTGCAGTGGTGGAGGGGAGAGGGGAGAGTTTTGTATGAGAAGGGAAAGGAGACGAGAAGAGGATAAGGTGGAGGAGAAGATGACTGGCTGCCAATCAAACTATATCCTTAGCTGCTGTTGCTGACCAAGAGAAAGTGAGGTCCAAAAAATGATCCAAATTGCTTGGTGAAGGGCCACTTCTTTTATGAGCCCAGATTGATCCCCTCATCCCCATCAAATTTCCAGCCATGGTTAATCATACAATATCATCCTATTTCATATCAAACTCATGATTTGTTTATGTTGGGTCTAACCATACAAAGGTGGGCTTGGATGGATTGATCCTAAATTTAATTTATTAAAAAAATAAAGAAAATAAGGAGAAGAGGAGAGATAAAGTTTGGTTTTGAGGCTTTTGCTAGTGATCAAATGGTTAAACTTCGTCGGTTTTCACCCAAATTTTATGTGAAGAATCTTTGCAATAAGCTCTATAATCATAACGGTAACGATCTACAATTTATCTTCTATAATATATTTTTCTATTATACTCACTTGATAAGATATAAAAAAAAAATTTCATGAAATCTAGGATGATGATATGAGTTCTGTGTTCTTAATGTTATTATGATTCTCTAGTTATTCTGAAGAAGATTTATTATAAATCTATTATCATTATCAGTGATAGTGAAAATTTGAAATGAATTACGGTCTTTTGATTTTTTTTTATACATAAAAAGAAATAAATTATTCTCTTACGTTAGTTTTTCCAAGTGCATCAATTGTGTGAAATCATTAAGCTCCATTTCTTGACACGTCCCTTGTACTCACCTGTAGCGTATGTACATGTTAAGTATTAGAATGCTCGTAGACATGTGTTTTGTGGTGCAATCATACACCTCAATGACCTATCAATCAACTCAGAAAATAAATGAAAACCTTCGTACATATGTCTATATATAAAAAAATAAATTGTACATGTATATATTAATATTGAGTTATATGTTATGGTACATGCACTTGGAACCATATTATAAATTAGTTGAAGCATAAGGATTATTATGTTAAAGGAGGGCTGTCAAAATAAAGACAAATTAGTTCAACATCATGTGTGTGTGAGTGTGATTTAATGTCATGGAATTAGAATTATGAGCATGATCACATGGATTAGAAGGATTACTCAACAAGTAGAAAATATGCGTTTATGGAATACTTTCTTTGGGTTCTAATTGTAAGTAAGTTCGTATCATTCTATATACTATAACATCAATAAAGGATAAACAAGAGAGACATGAATATAAATATATATTTGATGAGGGTAATAAATGGTGACAAGACTCGGACTGACGTCAGTTGACTCAGACGAAGCTCACGCCTCGATCAACCCGACAGAGCCTGGTCAAACGAAGCAGAATATAGGTCGAGGCCCATTAATGACCGCTCAGGCTTGATCCCTCACACCACGCCAACAGCGATATCAGACGCCATCAGAGGTATGATCCTGCTCCCTGTGGGCAGGCACATCAAGTAACACTAAACTTCCCTATAAATACCCTCACGTTCTAAATGCCAGGGGGGAAAGGAAAGAAAAGGAAGAAAGACACACAGGAAAACACCGCACCAATCCACATCATTGACTTGATCGTCGGAGGGGTCGGGCCAAGCTTCCGACCCGACCTGTGTGTAGGTATGAAGACAGAGTTGTTTCTTCCCAACGCCGTAGAGTGGAACCCTTCCCCGCAGGACGCCCCCACGAGCTCCCACGTAACTCGATCCCTACAACCGGCCGCATCGGCAACCCCCAAGGGACTCCGAGTAAGATCACCGCCATTCGGACCTGAACCAAGCCGCGATGGCCCCGAGGCCACGGCTCAAAAGTTGTTCACACCAACAATATTCACACAATATGTTTACATTGAACTATAGCTTCATCTTCCCTTATCACTAATAATTATATTTCGCACTCTATACTTTATCATATAACTCATTTATCATATATACTTTATCATATAACCGGATAAAATGAGTTTCTTGAAAGCATAAAATCTATAATATATTATATTAAATACGGAGAACAGAATGTGTGGGATAAGTAATTAGGAGAGTTCCTCCCATCAAGGATATCTCATAAAAAATTCTACTTTAAGTGGACTTATCCAATTATAAATGACCATAAAATCTAATATTTCTTGCTCAAAATAATTTTTCAAAAGCTGATTGGTGTTCGTATTGAGATGAGCGAATCTAGAAACTGCCATAATCAATTTTACCATGGAAAAAATATTACAAGAAAACTCTTACATTTTAGTAGAAATGAGAAAAATTAAAGAGAATAAGAAAAGCAAACTATTAAGAAGGTGAATAATCCTTAAAAATACTTTAAAAAATATTCTATTAAAAATATCAAGATATTGCATAAATCGAAGGGTGGTTTGGTTGAAATGAAAAAAAAGGAAGAAAATTAAAGAAAAACAACAGACTAGCCATACACTGAATATATCTGAAATATATAGAAAATATTCTATAAATTCAAGTTTTGTTATAGAAGTCCATTTGATTGGAATTAAAAGCTTTCCTCCTAATTTTAAATGATTTGAATGAGATTAATAATCTAATTTTAAAATCAGACCAAAATCAAGTTATTGGATACCACTTTTTTGACCAAAATTTTACCATAACTTTAGAACATATTTAAAAGTTCAAATGTAAAAAATTATTAGATAAATGCATCATATTTTGATAAAAATAATAAAATTATAAAAAAAGGGAACTATATATATTCTGAATAAATCACAAAAATATCAAGACAATTCTCTAAATTAGAATAGTTGTTATAGAGATTCATCTGGTCGTAATTTAAAGTTATCTTTAATAAGGTTAATATACTTACAAGCTCAAATGTAAAAAAAAAAATATTATTATTTTTTTAATTGGAAAAGTGTTATAGAGGTTCATTTGGTTACAATTGACAGTTATTTAAATTTTAAAATATTTGGATTATTCCTTGAGATCGATACTTTAATTTCAGATCAAACTAAAATTGTGGTATCAGATACCATAACTTTTTTAGACTAAATTTTTGCCATAACTTTAGAAAATATTTAGAAGCTTAAATATCAAAAATATTATATAAATACATCAAATTTTTATAGAAATGTAAAATTATAATAAAAATTTTAAAAACCATAGATTGTGTAGATTTTTAAAAATAGAAAAAAATATCAAACAAATTTTTTAATTAGTAAATGTTGAAAAAATATGGAGAAAATAAAAAAGGGTAAACTCTTAATATGTTGAATAAATTAGATAAATAAAAAATAAAATCTCTAAAAATGAAAATATCTTATACATGTCCATATGGGTATAATGTAAATCTTTTATGAAGATTTCAAATGATTTGGACTCCTCCTCTGTGATATCTTATTTTTTATTTTACCTCAAAAACAGAGTATCATATATCAAGAGTTGACTTTTCTAGGTTAAATTTTTGCTATGGGTTGTTCATCTATTTAGATGCTCAAATGTTAAAGAACAATTAGATGGATTTATACTATTTTGCTTGAAATAAAAAATATTAATAAAATAAAAAACAATATAATATTTTTATTTGAATAAATAAAAAAGAATAAAATATCTAAATTAGAAAAAAAAAAGTCTGATGTCCATATAGGTGCAATACAAGCCTTTCATTAAGATTTCAAATGATTTAGACTCCCCTTGTAAGTGATACTTTGTTTTTTATTTCACCCTAACAATAAGATATCCGATGATATAGTGTACATTATTAAAAATTGATTCATGTTTAACCCGTTTATTTTCGCGTTGAAGTTAATATGAACACAATTGATTCAACAAGAATATTTATCATTTAAAAAAGGCAGAGTTTTATTTTTGAAACTTAGGATGGTATGGCAAAAAAAATTAAAATTAGAAGTGTTTTCATAAATTCACCCTATATATATATATATATATATATATATATAAAGCGAAGAACACACGTCCATGGCAACCAGCAAACAGATAGGACTGCCGTACACGTACGCACAGGGTGCAACATTCATTGCATTCACATCGCCTCTTGTACAGTCTTCTTTTCTTTCCCTTTCCCGCAGTGAACACGAATCATTTTGGCATCCACAATTTACCACTCCATTAATCTTACCATCATATATCTCTCTCATAAATAACACCAATCTTGCATAAACTAATACCACGATGATGCCGACGTACCGACGATGGAAAACAAACAAAGAATTACAAGAAATAAACAAACGTAGGAAGTCTTTTTCTTGGTAATTATTACTGTCATTTCTTCCTTATCTTGAAGCTCCATCATCTTCTTGTAGGCTTCTTTTGGGATCTGAACCTTCTCCCTCCTCCTCACATCCTTCCTATCGAAGCGGGCAAATGAAGGCGACGAGCTTTTAGTTTCTTCTTCGTCTTCTTCACTCTCTTTCTCCCTTTTTTTGCCTTCTGAGGCTTAGCTCTTGTGCGTCTCTTGTTTGGCTGTTCAATGGAAGAGACATGTATGGTATATCAGATCTACTGATATCTCCGATCACCGTCTTCTTTCCTACTCTGTAGAAGACAAGTCGAGGGAGACCGGAGGGGATCTAAAAGCTTTGTTCGGGAAGATCTCGTCCTTTTTCTCTTTCCTATTTCTCCCCTTATCGTCGAGCCTTTCGGACTGCGACGTGCTTCCACTCGAAGAGGTGGTGGAGGAGGAGGCGGAGGAGACATGTTATGCTTTGTTCCGAATTAGAGCAGGTCATGAAAGCCGGAAAGGTAGTCTGTCAGATCTCTGTCTTCTGAAACGCCCTGAAGTTGTCTTTCCTGAAACCCTAATTCTATTATTAGAGTGCCTTGTTCTTGTTTTGGTGCAATTATTAGTAGCAATTAATGACCGGAAGAGGCTGACAGGCATTTCGACCTTCAAGATTTGTGAACCAGTTTCTTTTCTCCGATCAGGCTCTTTCCTCTTTTAAGAAGGACAAGGAGAGGAGTGGATGTCATCGAACGCGCCGTGCGGGGCCTGCAAGTTCCTGCGGCGAAAGTGCACGCCGAATTGCTTGTTTGCACCATACTTTCCGACGGATCAGGTGACGAACTTCGTGTATGTGCACCGCATGTTTGGGGCAAGCAAATTGGCGCGCATGCTCGGTGACCTGAACCCCGCGCAGCGACAGGATGCCGTCAATACGCTGGTCTATGAAGCGGAGGCGCGGCTCCGCGAGCCCGTTTATGGCTGTGCGGGCTACATCTGCCTTCTCCAACAGAGGCTCGAGCGAATCCAGAATGAACTCTACAACGTCGAGAAAGAGCTTGCCACCTACATCGACCCTGCTGCCTTCGATCCCTTCCTCCCCCCTCTCCACCACCAGCATCAGGACCAACACGGCCACCACCACCGCCAAGGGTTCTATCCTTCGTCCACAGCGACCTACGGCGTCCTGGGAATGGGGACCATTGCGGGGCTTGGTGTTGCCGCACCCGGCACATCGCACTACCCGCAGATCTTGATACCTGAACAGGCGCAGCAGCAGCAGCCGCAGCCGCCGCGGATAGTGGAGGCGCAACAAATGGCCATGGCTGCTTTGGCTGCAGCGAGAGAGCAAGACATGCTGAGGAGCTTCGAGCAGCAGCAAGAACTGGCCAAATTCAATTCCGAGTTTCTGGACAGTGGTCAGGGCTATAATAAGATCGATTATGGCACCATGGTGTCTGCAATGCCGGCGGGGTCGTCCTGTGAGCTCCCGCTGGTTCCGGCGCAGCCATTCGAGTTGTCATTTGCTGTGCATCCTCAGCACTACCCCGAACAGCAACCCCAGCAGCAGCAGCAGTGGCAGACACAGACGCAGCACCAGAGAGCCCAGAGCCATTACGGGAGGAGTGACATCGGTCCGTCATATTGAAAGAACGAAAGAAGCATTCAAATATTTCCCTTTTAACTCCTGGCAAAAATCAGAGATCTCTCTTCCTTCTCAGATGTATAGAATTCTCCTCTCTCTCTCTCTCTCTCTCTCTCTCTCTCTCTCTTATATATATATATATATAATAACTTAAATTGTATTTTCCTTTCCACTCATCCCAACATGTAAATCTGGACGTTCCTAAAACTTGGACTTCTTGAAGCATTTTCGAGTTCACAAGCAATGTAGTAAAGACTGCAGCGCTATGCAGAAGCCTCAGATACACCCTAACATGCACCTAGTCTACGTTTCTTTCAATGTTTCCCTTGGCATTACATGAGATGACACTTCAATTCTCTCACAGGTCGATCTGGTTTGCTGACCTCTACGGGGTGCTCAAGAATAGGAGAGAGACATAGCCTCAGATATAGCATGCAAAGTCTACCAAGAAAAGAGAAGAAGCAAAAGGAATGATGCAGAGATTGTTGTGCAGATGTAGCAGTCATAAGCAGCGGTAGGTGTAGCAGATATAAATTCAGAACCAACCCTCTATCATCTATTATCTATTTTTCTGACCATCAAATCACCTCCTCATCTTTCGCTGCAACCTTCTGACCACCTTCCTGCCCTCATCTTCCTTCACCCCCACCTTGGTTTTTTACCCTTTTTTATTTCCTTTTCTTTGCTTGTGTTCCGAGTGCCTGTGGGAGTAATCAGTACTGTACATAGAGAATGGTTAATATAATTCATCGGTCTTCTGACCAAATATTTACCCTTATAATGATGCTTAATGCATGAAAGTGAAGGGCTTTGGAAGTTGGAATCATGTAATAATTTGGGATCACGTTTGACTTGTGGTTTGCGTTCCTCATAAAAGCCAAACCTAATCCTTCCTTTTCCTCCGCATGGATTTAGGTAAAAACTGCAGCCGTCCTCTCACTTGCAGCAAACAAAGATACTACAAAATAGTGACAGGCGGCAGTACCTCCCCCGAAAGCTCTCTCCTCCTATTGCATTGACTTTTTCGCCATGGAAATCTATGCTAAGCCATCAACTGAACTGAGTTAGCTACGTAGCCTTGATACTGAAAGTTACTGATCGTGGACATGCTCCCAACGTATGCACTGCACTTGCATGTGAACTTGGAAGGGAGCTTTTAATGCCGATCTGCTGGCGACTCAACATGGTGAGCTTTTCTTTGTTTGTTTAAGCTGATAAAAGGGTTCAGCTCATGTGGATCGCCCACTTTTTAATCCATGCAAGGGAACCGAGGCTACGGTGCATGTGAAGTGGGGGGAGGGTTGCAGAACGCTTTGGGAGGAGGTTGGAAAGAGTGCAGAAGTAATAAAGAGAGGTCAATCTAGCAAATGGGTTTTGCCCAAAGACTTTGGGTAGATCAACTCAAAACAGTTGAGGGTTTGTAGATGGTGAATATTAATGTAAATTTGGATCAAATCTAACCATACTCTCTATGAGTTATGATGATTTGCCATGTAGATATGTAAGAAAGAAGAGACCCTTTTTTATGGAGAATTGAAGGCGAATGAATAATCATGCAGTTGTTAATGTTCCACAATTTTTTTTGAAAGAAACATGAAAGAATTTTTTCTTTTAAGGATAAAGATAACCATCAATGTGAATATACCAAGAACTCAGGAAGAATAGAATACTAAGAAATCCAAATATAACATAAAAAAATGTCATCAAGAGCTAAAATTATGTTGGTTTAACAGGTCTTTTTTTATCTTTCTAGAATTAAAAAGAGAGTGAGATTGACCGTCTACGTGATACATGCAGAATTGTGAGACCTGATTCATCGTCTACGCGATTGACTTGTATGAGAATGCGCCAAATCTCACAATATAAATAGAACCACGTCGACTGGCCATGAAGAATTGCGACTATCATGCATCATTTATATAACCTCTGCTTCTACCAAAGTCAAAATTAAAAGGCAAAAATATGATAGCTTTTGCGTTGCATAGTGTGGATTAGTGCATGATAGTCAAACCCAACCTGCTTCTCCTATTTTAAGACTGCACCAGCAATTATAGGTGATGTCCTTTCTTGGACTCATCTATAAATTCTCATGGATGGGAAAACAACTCATTATTTAAGAAATAGTAAAAGACATTGATATATTATATCAAGACTAAACACATTGACATTGATTCATCTTACTGTTCTTATATATATATACATATGTATATATATATATATATATACATATGTATATTTATATATATAAGAGAGAGAGAGTTGATATTTCTTTAAAGTCAAAATTAGATATTGTCAACCATCACCTGCATGACATCAGTACAGAAATTAAAAGAGGAGGGGGAAAAAGAAAAAGGGGAAAAAAGAAGAGGGGAGAGGGGGAAACGGTTGACCTTTTGGTAAATGCGTCCGGTTTTCCGTACGTCCCAAAGCCGCGTGGGGGCGACGCCAAAAGAATTATCGGGTGAGAGAGCGAGGGATGTCGCCCCCTTTCCACCCAATTCTAGGGTTCTCCATGGGCGACGATGGCCTCGTGGATCGAGGCGTAGGATTTGGGGTTGGGCTCCGATCCCTGCGCTGAGGGCGTCTCCCCCACCATACCATGTTCGACCCTTGCCCTCGCGATGCCTTGGTGGAACCGGAAGAGCGCCGTCTCGCCCTCCTCTTCCTCTTCGTCCCCCTCGTCCGCCGCCTCCTCCCCCGGCGGCGGCGCAATTGGCCGTAGCCGTGCGAGGGACCTCTACCTCCCGTGGAGCCGCCGCGTTGCCGTTTCTGCCGCCGGCCCCGTCTCCGCGGGCTCGACGCCGGTGTCGCGCTCGCCCAGCAATCTTGACTGCAATCCGATCCGATCGTCGTCGTCGCCGGTGCTTCTGCCGCAACCTCTTCCCTTGCCGGAGTTGGTGGCCGCAGCGGCGGCAGCCACATCCCCTCGTCCGGAGTCCACGTCGGCACCGTCGTTGGGTACGGCGCTCTCGCCCACCAACTCTGTGTGCTGCCCGCTGCCTTCTCCCAGAGATGCTTCAAGTAGATGGGAGGGTGACGAAGCTAATCATTCAGCTACGGAGTCTTCCTCCGTCGTGGAGCCGATCAATGACAGGGTTGCTTCAGCTGGTGTAGCAGGAAGGTCAGAGACTTTTTAATTCCCTTTCGAAGGGCGTATTTTTCCTGGCATACTTCGGTCCTTATATAGTTTGGTAATTGAGTGAAAAGTTGGATACTCGAGTGTTTGTTTACATGATAACAAGTGACTTTGCCTAATGTGAATGTTTGCAACACTGCAAAAGGTGTATATTGTTTTGTTTTTTAGTGTTCGAACGGGTAGGATATAACCAAGTGGTAACTGGAGCCACATTTTGTTTTAGTTTTGTGGCTTTTGCTATAAGTTATTGTTCGTTTTCCTTCATGTTCCACAACCTCAGAAGCATATTCACTGTTTAACAAGTTGAGTAAAATTAAAGCTTCCAAGGGTTTTGGATTGTCATGTTGTTGCTAATATTTCAGTATTGCATCACTTATACCCAATTACCCATGTTTCAACAATATGCTCCAGCTTTATTTGATATTCTTTCTGTTTGCTTGTTTGGTATTTACATTATTGAGTTTGTCATCTTTCATCTTTATGGGCTAAGTTTGTGTTCTCTACAGTTCCTATTGGCACTAGTACTTGAATCCGTGTGTGTTTTTTTATTGTTTAGAATCTAAACAAAGAAAGTACAATGAAAAATAGGGATGACAAATTACATTGCCTAGGAAGAAGTGTATGATGGTTTATCAACAATTGTTTAAGAAACTAATAGAGCATTCTATTTTAGATTAAATGAGTGAAAATATTTGGGCAAAGGCCTGCCAGAGAACCTGTCAGAATGACAAGCAAAGTCAAGATGTTAGCTTTGGCAAATAGTTCCATGGCTGTCCATAATAGCTTTTGAAACTATATTTCTATCATTATCCCTGAGCAGCTGATGTTTCAAGTAATTGTTGATAGAAAAAATCATTTGGATATTATACAAGTTCCTCAACTGTTCTAGTACTTGTGCGTTGACGACTTTGCCTTTTAGGTTGCACATCATGTGCATTTTGACGTGGATTTCATTAGTTAAAGTTTAATCTAATTTCATAAGCTTGCTGATAATGTTTGTCATCCATGATCTCCTTGTGAAACTGTCTATTTCTTGATTATGGTTGTCAGGAAGGATCTTGCCAGTTCCTGGAGAGCTAGTTGAGCAGAAATGACCACTAACGTTTCTGTATTGTGAAATTGAAGTTTAATAAGCACCATATTCAGCACTTACATGTTTTAGCAATTTTATTCAAGCTCCCCAGATGCACTTTCAAAACCAACTTACATAACGATAAATATGACTTTAAAGGTGTTTGACTTTTCACCTACGTTTGTTATCTGGATATTAGCCACATACATTTTAACAATCTAGACATAGCTTGTAAGTGAAACAATTTAGTAACTCCTCAAAGTTTCTAAGAGTGGATCTGCATTTGTGCTCATCTTTCCAGAAAATGGAAGATAGACTAGACCGTATCGTATGAATTATAATTCACCCCAGAAGATTTAAATTGATTTTAAAAATAAGTAAATAATGGTGAAGTTGACTCATGACACGGCCAAGTCATAAGTTTCAAGTGCCAGCCAAGTCTCAGAACAGAAGGCTTTAGACTTCGGGTCTAATACCTGTCCTGGAAAACATTTTTTGTGGCTTATTGACCTGGCAATGTCCATCTGAATTCATTGGAAGTCGCTGATGCAATAGTACTGGTATATTTGTGATTTTCTTTAAGTTGCCTGGTCAAAACCAGAAAATCGAGCAACATGTTAGCCACACTAGCATATAGTTGCTAGGGACAAGAACTACAGAAGATGAGAGGGGGAAAACACAAAGAAACAACACTAGGAGAAGCTCAATTTTGGCATTCCTTCTTCCATCTCTGTTCTACCATTACTCTCAGCTATTGGACAGGGTCAAAAAGAGAGAAAAGGAAATAAAAGAGCA